ACTGCCTCCTGGATCCCCTGCTCTACTACTTTGGATCCTCCCAGTTCCGGAAACAACTATCCAACATGTTGAAGTGTAATAATGACAATATCACTCATTCATCTTATTTATGAAGATTCAGCAAAAGACAAATGCTGAAATCCAGTCAAACAGAAAAGTCCAGAATCAAGACCTCCGTTACCAGAGCAGGTTCTTTCCAAGCAAGCCTCAAAAGCCAAGAAAAGGACAAGCCAAACAAGAAATTACTGGCCTGACTGACTGTCACACTTTCATTGAGTCTGAACTGTTAGTTTAAAGTTATAATATAACATCAGCAATTTGTCATAATTTGTCAAAGCTGCTGACATAAGAGCATGTAGCTAACAGGAAGATTTTAAATTCTCTATATTCATGATTAGAATAAACTGAATACCTTCCACTTCTTTGTGAACTGGTCATGTCAACAGAAACAGTTTTAAATCTTGGGGTCATGGCTACACATGGTCAATGAGAGATCCTTTTAAGAAACAAGAAAGAAAACACCAGGAGAGAAAATACGCATTTACATAAACAATATACATTCCATGGGACAAGAGGTGGGGTCCAACCTGGGCAAGTTGCCCGTCTCTCGCAAAGCTAACATTATGAGTAATTATATATTAGAAAATAAAGCCCTGGTATTTCTGGTATTCTATGGTAAATGCCAATCTGGCTCCATGGCATCAGGTAGTGAGCACAGTGCCCACTAGAGGACATTAGGAGCTCAGGCCTGAGACCTTTCTTATTGTTTGGTCAGATACATTCAGACCAGTGTCTGCTGGAGGTCGTTTTGTGCATATTGGGCTGTTCATCTTTGCACAAATGAGATAATCTGATTAAAAAATTGTGTCTTCTATTTTTTTCCTTTTTATTAGGCAGAGTATCTGGGATACTTGTTTTTTATTTGTATTGAAATACATGCAAAACCTTGTAGAATAAACATCTACACTTTGGAGATATTTTTTTTTAATCTGTAAGCAGCAATGTCCATGTGCCTTTCTCTCCAGCAGGTAGCGCTACATTACAGTTAAGTAACACTCTCCACAAACACTCTGCATTCATTGTCAAGCTGCAATTAAATCCAAATCCATCTTGGCTGTCCTTCTGATACATTTTAGGAATTCAGACATCCTTCAACAACATGTACTGAGACTGCGTTTCACATCACAGTCTGGGGCGGCAGAGGATGCATAAGCCGCACCCGCCGGTTAAATTATCTTGTGGTTCCATTCTAGGTTTTATGGAAGTGTTTGTATTTCGCTGACTATTGTTCAGGTCCTTAAAATCTTCAATGTAACTTTCAGTGCTTTTAGTATCATACAAAAATCGTGAAATTCTCCGCGGATTTATTTTTTTTATTACTTTTCTCAAAATAACACGCCATACCCCTGATCATTGATCAGCAAAGCTGGAAAAGCACTGCCATAAAGCTTCGGGTCGAAGCGCAAGTCAAGCCGGCATGACAGGGCTGGCCTGAGTCTTACGCAAGGTCGCTTGTAAGGTCACCTGACATCACGCTGGTATGTAAATAGCTGACTGTGGGCTCTGTCAGCTAGTTCGCCGGCACTAGCGGTTAAAACATGGTTTAACGTCGCTGCTGATAGACCGCGTTCGCTATAATATTGTGTTTTAAACTACGTTTTGCAGTCATGTCGTGGACTACAGGATGGATTCACCTGTTCCTGATTTTGTGTTTTACACAAACTTGCCTGACGATACACCCAGGTAATATTTCAACCTGTTGATTCAGCCATTATTACCATACCGTCGTGACTGGCAAACTGTTCATTTTGAAAATAATTGGATGTTTTTATTTATTAATTTGATCTTTTTTTTTTTTTAAGTGCTGAAGACTTATGTCAGTGCTTGATGTTTTAGTCTTGGATACATTCATTTGTTAGCATCAGTGTGATCGGTCAGAAACAGCTACAGTTTAATGGATGTTGTAATGCATACAGGTGACTCATAAACATACTAACACAAACGGGTCAAAGTGCCCTAAGCTTAAGGAACTGGGTGTGACATTCGTTCCTATACACACTGTAAGCCTGTTATTCTTCTGCTTTTCATATATTTTCATATTGTGACTTCACAGAAACCAGAGGCATCACAGGTACAGAGAAAAATGGGAGCCTGTGGATCAATCCAAATGACGAAAAAGTCCTGAGCGGTCGCCTTACAACCGTCTTTCTCCCAATCATTTACATAATTGTGTTTTTGGTGGGTCTCCCCACCAATGCCTTGGCAATCTGGGTCTTCCTCTTCAGGACCAAGAAAAAACACCCATCTTCGATCTACATGGCCAACCTGGCTCTGGCTGACCTGCTGTTTGTCATCTGGCTCCCCTTAAAAATTGCTTACCACTTCAACGGCAACAACTGGATCTACGGAGAAGGATTATGCAAAGTGCTGGTAGCATTTTTCTATGGCAACATGTACTGCTCAGTTGCCTTTATCGCATGTATAAGTGTTCAGCGTTATTGGGCCGTGGCTCACCCGCTGTCTCAGCAACAGAAGAGAAACCGTGTAGCTGTTTCTGTCTCCGTCACTATCTGGGTGGTGGTCTGGCTCATCAGTATCCCTCTCTATCTCTATAATCAAGAAGTTAAGATAGCAAGACTCGAAATCCTGACCTGCCATGATGTCACCAAGCCCTCTCAGAAGAAGATTGCAGCAGGCTACTTTCTGACAATGGGAATACTGGGATTTGTCGTTCCCACTATTGTGTGCATCGTATCTTATGTTCTCATGCTGAAGGCTCTCAGGAACAGCATGAAGGATCCTGCCATTGCCAAGAGACGCAAAAAGGCTGTGGTCTTGATCGTCACTGTCCTTGTTATGTTTTTATTGTGCTTCACCCCAAGTAACATCATGCTGATGGTGCATTACATCCTCCTGCTTAAAGGGGCGGACAACAACTTGTATGGGTTTTACATCACGACCCTGTGCTTGGCCAGTCTCAACAGCTGTTTTGACCCTTTTGTTTACTATTTCATCTCCGAAGACTTCAGGGAGCACGTGAAGAACACATTCCTGTGCCGAAGTGAGCGGACAGCGCAGAGGATGAGGGTCTCCTTCAGTGCTTTGAAGTTCTCCAAAAAAAGCAACTCGTATACGTCAGGGTCAGGGAACACACGGAGCACGGATTGTTAGTGAATTCTTGATTTTTTTTAAGACTTGTTTTTGTTATTTTACTGAAATGTCAAAAGGACTTCCTGGTTTGTTACAGGTGAACAAGTCAATTTGACTTTTAATGTTACTGATTTTTAAAGTTTTGTAAAATCTTTGCTTTCATTTGTTTTGTTTTTCTTGTTTTTTTGTTGTTTAATGTGCAAAATTTCTTAAAGCTGCCTTAATTTAATTTATCCAGGATGTGAACAATTGCTTTAGACATTACAAACGTGTCAAAAATTGTGCCATAATTTTTATTGAGAGCAACTCTGACAGCTTGTGCTAGAGTGCTTTGCTGCCTTGCTTACAAATAACATTTAGCGTATATCAAAGAAGAGGAAGTCGCTTTTTGTTTGTTTTTTGGTAAATCTTTTTACTATATTTAAAAGGTTCTCAATAAAAGGATCATCTCAATTAATTGTGCTTTCTCACTGCATACTTGTTAGGTGTTATCCATCAGCTCACTATTGCTAACCGAACTGGTTACATTTGTGCACAATTCTTTAAATTAGTTGAAGTTCTCTGATTTCAGTGCCATTAATTTTATAAGTAAAAAGTTTTATAAAACTGGAAAATGTAATTTAATATTAAATGATATTGCTTTTATTGGTTTTCCATTATGCTTGTGACAGTTTCTGAAACAAGTATGCAGTTGCATAAATGCCATTGCATGTCGCATTAAAAGTGTTTCTATGTTACTCACTTTGTTTGGTCATCAACATTTCCTCTGACTGTATCATCAGGTAAACAGTTAGAAATGTCAAGCTAGATGTTCCTTATTTTGAAAACGCAGTCAGCTTTGTGTTCCAGAAATGTCCACCGCTGTTCTTTTTTGGTGGGTAAAAACACACACACACACACA